TACAGTGGCCTTGGAAGAAGGATTAATTCATCTAATTCATGTATAGATCAACACCAAGGACAGTGTCTTACTCAAGTACAGATAAGCACTATTTAGAATGTCTTAATCATATATATAGAGCACAACTACAGGCAATGTCTTTAAATTTTCCCTGAATGCTCAAGCGCTTTCCCAGGATCAATTCTGGCCTAGTTTGTGGATGTGTGTCATCATCGCAGATTTGTCTTCACACAAATTGTACTTTTTCGTGCCATATATCAAGAAGGTATTCTGTGGAGTTAATTTCCTGTCAGAAGTGATTGCATGTAAATCATATTTTTTATGGTAATCGTAAGTACAATCCTTCTAACTAAAATCCAAATTTATGTCTGTACCTTGTTTATGTTGTTATTACCTATCATTTGCAAATTTCACACTACATTTAAGAAGTACTTGATAGGCCGCCAAAGAAAATGTGTTTTATACGGTAACAGGAGAGTGTTTTATACGGTAACATCTTGGAGGTTTGTTTAGACTTTTGTTCAGAGTTTGGGGCAGGGTCAAACCCTACCAAAGCTCTGAACATATAAACCTATAATGTTATAAGGAAAGTACAAAATAATAAATGATTCTGAAATGTTACCTGAGAAGCACATTTAAAAGGTGCTACATATCAATTTACAGACTTTTACAAAGTTAACTATATATTTGCAAGTCATAAAATTCTGATTTCTGCATTGCAACTGTGTATGATTGCTTTAGACATCAAATTAACTCCATCCTTCGTCGCCACAGACCACAACATTCCTGACTGTGTGAAACACATCTTTAACAAGTGACAAGTGGCTTAGTGGTTAGCACATTCACCTCGCACAGCCAGGGTTGGGGGTTTGATTCGTGTGTGTGTGTGTGTGTGTGTGTGTGTGTGTGTGTGGCCTGCTTGCTCTCCCTGTGCCTTGGGGGCTTCCTCTGGGTACTCTGGTTTCCTCCCCCAGTCCAAAGACATGCATGGTAGGCTGATTAGCATTTCTAAATTGTCTGTAGTGTGTGTGCGATTGTGCCCTCAGATAGGCTCCAGGCCCCCTGCAACCTTGTGTAGGGTAAGCTGTACAGAAAATGGATGGGAGTGAATTTCTTTCCTGCATGGTCACACTCAAATTTACTCGAAGTGAATGCCAGAGCTCTGTTCTTACATGTACCAAAAAACTGGTTTCCTGGACTACATTCAGATTCAAAACCAGCTTTCACACATGAACAGATTCAAAGCAAGGCCAACCTCTGAAAGTCATATATTTGAATACGGATAAGCACCATGGAGTCAGGGATATTTGTAAATGGATCAGCTCCATGGACAGAGACATAGTTGTATACCGCTCAGTGTCACTCTGTAGGGACATAACATAAGCTTCAGCACTGTGAAGGGAGACACCGTGAGCTGGAGTACTGAGGCACAAACACATGAGAAATCACAGTCCTAGTGTCTAATGACCATTTTGCAACTGAGGAAGCAGAAAGAAGAGCTTGATTTGAACTGTAGCTGAAATGGACTGCATGCAAGTCAGCGGTCTCTGCTGCACTGTCCATAACAATAATTTGAACACTGTGCTCCCTAAAACACTGTTTCAGTACCCAGGGTCAAGACACTTACCTCTTCCAATCTCAAATTTTCTGTTTCAAATACAAAGGGCTAAAACTGTTTTTAATGTCTCAGAGCTGTTAACATCTTTTGGTAGACCAATATACCAGAGAATTTCCTGATGGGTTTTCTGTTGCCTTCAACTTCCTACTATTGATTTTAGACTGTTAAATGCAGAACAATTTCAGCCCTTTATTACCCTGTTTCCAGACATGAGGCAAGTGGTGGGGCTGGAGAGCCATTTAACTTTTTTTTTTTTTTTAACACCCGGCTTACATTACCCAGACAATTTCTACGGCATACTTATATAACTTACAGGTGTTCCTGGCATTATGATTTTTTATTTTATGATTCAAAGGCAAAACCTCTATTGCTATCACCAAAACACACCTCTCTCCTATCACTGAGTGATTTCTATTCATTTAATTGCTCCCTCTGAGGACATGAGGAAAGGATAGAAGGATAAGATGCAAGGAAATAAGGTGAAATATATATTACTGAATGAGACATTTTTTCTCTCTGAGGCATCACTTTTAAGTGATATCAGTTGTCAATGAACTGTTGAACAACTGAATTATCCTGTCACTGGCCACAACGGATCTGCAAATCGCTACACATCACAGTTTAATTGTAAACGGAACATCAATTAAAACATTACAGCATATTAATTGCATACAGCTAAACGATTTTTCCTATACAAGACTGTACTCAGCACTCCTAATATAGGCATTTTTTTCAGACACATTTAAAATTTTGCCATGGCTTTTATTTGTATTCATTGTTTCTTAATTAATGTTATTAATTTTGTACTTGTAGTTCTTATTACTGCATCATTAATTGGACTTTAAGCTGTAGGCTTCTGTCACACTCTACAATAAATGACTTGTATGTAGGATGTGCATCTTCGTTCCTTGATTCCTCTAATAATGAATATAAAGAATGAATACATCCTTAAAGATGGCAAGCTTCAATAGATTTCCGGGTCACAGGCTGAAGGATCAAGGCTGATAAGGACAACGAGTCCTTAACCAGAGTACTGGGAAGTACCCGGTGCCATTGTTTTCAACAGTCTTGTCATTAACTTATCAAGCTCTGAGTCATGTCATTGCCTTTGGATTTTGTTATATTTCACTTTGAACTCTTGGGATTACACCTTGGTAATTTGGTAATTACACCCTGTAGTTCTGTTGGTCAGTGCTGCTTTAGGTGCAACTGATTTCAGAGTTTGGCTTTTGCATTGTGCTGATTTGGATTTTGCTTGCCTCACTGTAATGCTCATCTCTCCTCTTAATAAACCGTCTGCATATAGATCCACAGATCCCTGTTGTATCAGCATTGTAACTACTGTCTATGCATGTCTAACAGTTAAGCGAAAAACAACAGACACAGAATGTTTCAGCTATTTAATTTGAAAATGTATCTGCTCAAAGATTTTTTTTTAGAGTTCCCAGTAAATATTACTTTTTTCTTGGGCCATTGATTCATGGTTGTAATGGTAATTTAGCGTATTTCTCACATATGATGTTTATAACCCTTTTCATGTCCTCATCTCTATTTTGCTGTCATGTAGACAACTTGAGTTGTTGTCATGGCAATGAAATAACCTTCTCCCCATCCCAGCTCCTGACGTCACTACTTCTTTGGTTCCAGTCCAGCAGGTTTCTAAACTGAATTTGCCGGCTGAGAACCAGTGAAAAAGCACGGAACGGGTCAAGATTAGACACCTGCTCCAGCACCGTGTCAGTGGGAAAGCACTATATGTGTGTGTGCTGATTAGATGGCGTGAGTGTAATACTGCAGAGAATCAGGCATGTCACTCACAGGGAAATAGATGGTAATAATTAGGCATCCCTTTGGATCAGTCTGCTGCATTTCTGAGACTTTGCTGCTGGATTCATGCTGCACAAAACACACTCCTCCTACACAAACATAAAAACACAGTCGATATTATAGATTTACCATTAGCCAGGTCCTGTTGCTTTTTCAGCTTTAGGCACTCTGTTGATATCTACATGCAACACCATGTTCATTCCAAAAATAGGACAGCAGTTGTGCTCCTGTGACAGCAAAAGTTGTTAGTCATGGAATAAATGTTATTTTTTATTTTAGCGCCATTGTCACAGTCAAGGTCACTTCACAAGGTGAAAGAAAAGAATGCTAAGAAAAAGAGGAGATGATGCAAAGGGAAAAAAATCTGTTGGATGGTTGACTTGGAAAAAATGAGAACAGGCACAGAGATATTGTCAAATGACACTACACTCAAAATAAGGTGAACTCCAGATTGAATGTGAATGATTTTTTTTGTCTCACACAAAAATTAAGTTAAATGGAAAGGGATACAGAAACAAATAACATGATATTAAATTTTGCTTCCTATAATCATATGGTTGAACTTTATTTGCAAACATTAGAAGCCTGCGTCAATTTAAAAAAAGCAGGTAGGCTGTGGTTTGTATTTTCTGGGGAAAAAGTTGAGGACCTGGTAATGGACTTTTGCTCTATTTCTTAATGCTGCATGTTGCTCACACTTGCAAAAAATAACCAAAGCTTGCGAACCTAGTTAGCTGTTCACTTTACAGCATTATGTCTAGAATCACATCCCATCAGTACCATCAACAACCACTTGAGTTTTGATATAAACAATCCTTTCCCATGCTCAAGAGGGAATGAGATGCCAGCATCATAATTTTTTTCTTCCCATTTACAAACAGCAGCTATTAATACTTTTCTGGAAGATTTCTGACTCCAGTGGCTCTTCAAAACTTCAAACAAATGACTTAAACTAGAACGTTTTAACAGGACTTATTAACTGGAGCCCTAATCTCACATCTGACTCATTTCCCCCTTCAGTCTCGCAACCATCAGAATGAGTAATAAGCGTATGACAAGCTGAAAGTGAAAAGTGACATTATACAGTATTGTAATTAGCCTTTATTCAGGTAAAAGTGTACAGTATGAGTGAGGTATGCACATGAAGTCAAAGCCATTATTTTACTCAATTGACTACAACATATTTCTTAAATACTTGGGTCTGTCTGCCTGCCTGCCTGCCTGTCTCTCTCTCTTTTTTTCTTTTGAACATTTGTTTGAACAGTCATGAAAATTAAAATTCCCAAAGTGTTAAGCTAGTGTGAGAGTTTGGATTTTTATTTTCTGTAGGAAAGACACATCAAATAGTAAATAACAAGATTAACATACCAAGTCAAACCTTTTGTTGTTGTTCTTTTGGTTGCTCCCATTAGGGGTTGGCATAGCAGATCACTGGTCCTTATATTTTGATTTGGCACATTTTTTTTACACAGGATGCCCCTCCTGAAGCAACCCTCCCCAATTTTATCTGGGCTTGGGACTGGCACTGGGAGTGCACTGTCGTGTACTGGGTTGGTTCCCTGGCCAGGAATCGAACCCAGACAACAGCTCTGAGAGCACCGAGGCCTAACCACTAGTCGTCCAGGGACCCGCATGTACCCCGTCACAACTAAATGTATTTAAATACATATAACTTCATACTGGCAAGGGTGAAAAAAGGACTGAAAAATTATACTTAAGTGAAATTTAAAAGTGTAAGTATGCAACCAAAAATGTACCCAAGTGAAAGTAAAAAAAAAAGTTGTACCCACATATTAAAACTAAAAAGTTTTTAATTGCTAAACTTAAGTAATGTCATGTTCTGTCATGTAAAAAGTCATTTTTATTATTTAACTAAATCTGTCATAATCTCTGTAAGTTTGCTGGTTATATGCCACGACTGGCTTAGGTCTTATCTAACAGATCGTTATCAGTTTGTAGATTTAAGTGGTGTTCACTCAGCGCGCTATCGGGTAGAGTGTGGCGTTCCGCAGGGTTCAGTATTAGGCCCACTGCTTTTCTCGTTATACATGCTCCCATTAGGAAACATAATACGTAAGCATAATATTAGTTTCCACTGTTACGCTGATGACACA